CTGAAGTTGTGTCACTGGGCATGGTAAGAAGTAGATATATTTGAGAGATACTTCTAACAGAAAAATAGCAAGATGCTTGAATTGATTGGATGTGGGAAGTGGGGGGTGGAGGAAGACATCAGGAGTGATGCCCAGGTTTCTGGCTTTACCCACTGGAAGGATGTTGGCATCATTCACTGAGTGGGAAGAACAGGGGGTCTGTTCTCCACAGAAGAGCATGTGGAGGGGTACTTGTAAGACATTCAAGAGGCCATTGGTCAAACAGGTCTGGAGTCCAGGGGAGTGGTCTGGGCTGAAGGCAAGGATGGGAAGGCCTGGATGTGAGTGTCCAGGGATACAGATCACACGAGAGAAGAAAGGGCTGGCAACAGACTCAGAAACAATGCCAACAGGTAAAGAGCCAGAAGAAGAGGCCTTCCTCCCCCCACAAGGGAAATCAAGGACTGGCCAGATGTATAGAAAGAAAATCAGAAGAGTATGTATTTCTGAAGTCAAGGGAGAAGAATGGGGGAGGACGAGTGGTCAGCAGCATCACATGATGCTCAGGGGCCACATAGGAACAGCAATGAAATGTGGATTGGGCCTTGCTGAAGACACAGTGTGTAGTGAAGCCCAGTCTGTGGGCTAAGGATGAGTAGTAGTTATTGTTGAGTCACTCAGTCCTTTCTGATTCTTTGTGACCCCATCGACTGCAGCATGCCAGGCTCCCCTGTCCTTCACTATCTCCTGGAGTTTGCAAAACTTCACATCCATTGGGTCAGTGATGTTTTCTAACCATCTCATCCTCTGTCATTCCCTTCTCCTCTTGCTCTCAATCTTTCCCAGCATCAGGATCTTTTCTAATGAGTCAGCTCTTCATATCAGGTGGCCAAATATTGGAGCTTCAGCATCAGTCCTCCTAATGAATACTCAGGGTTGACTTCCTTTAGGACTAACTGGTTTGATTTTCTTGCAGCCCAAGGGACTCTCAAGAGTTTTCTCCAGCACCACAATTCAAAAGTATCAATTCTTCAGTGCTCCAACTCTCACATCTGTACATGACTGCTGGAAAAACCATAGCTGTGACTATACGGACCTTTGTCGGCAAAGTGATATCTCTGCTTTTTAATATGTGTCTAAGT